TCACCGGAAGCTCGAGGGGGATTGGCTTGGAGGTATGACTGTAGATTTGTGCGAATAGGTCCTCAGCGCACCGCAGTGCGGTGACCCCGATGAATCCTCGCTGAGCTTTCATCCATCATGTGACGGACGTTGTAAGAGCAGACACCATGCTTTACGATAATTCACCAAGTACAAAGAAAAGAAAGGTGGTCGGGTGCTATCCTACCCACTTTTTATATTCTGGCTAGGTTTACTTAGTGAGACATCACATGATTTGGTTGGAGATTCTAGCTCTTCCTACATGCTTTTGAAAAGTAAAGTGGCTGAGGATGACATGTAAGTGGCTGCAAGTGAAGCCTGAAATGAATGTCTTTGTAACAGAGCAATCGCATCCTCCACTAAAACACTTATGTTTTGGATTTTGCAATGTGATTGCTTTCCATTGTACATGAGCTGTGTAAATGCATTTCCCTTGAATTGCGTTAGATGTAAGAGTCCAAACCAGATTCTGGTCTAAACAAGCCTCCTTCTCTTGCTCACTGGTACTTCTTTCGCCCCTTTTCTCTCTAACTCTATCTAATCCAGTTTTTCTACATAAAAACGATATTGTTGTTGTTGTCTGCCAGGAAAGGTTCAAGAGAATTTGGACTGTTTAATCTTTAAAAAATGGAAGATATGCCCTGAGTGAAATATCTTTGTAAAAAGCTTGATATAAATTGAAATGATATAGCGTTTAGCAGAATAACAATAATAAAGCTTGGTGAGTAAAGTACCGGACACATTCTTAGATGGGTAGAGGAATTCTACCAGAACTGGTTTTTCCCTTAACTACGCCAAATAAGGGCACTAATCTATCCTTAACTGGCAACATCTGCTTACAGGAGAGTGAGCCAGATGACAGTGGAAATTTTTCCTTAGTTAAATGAACTAATGCGTCTTTCATAAAAGTCATGAAGGCTGCTGCTACCGATGATACGAGTCAGAAGACCTTGGTCTTTTTAAATAAACCCCCCCTCAAATATCCAATTGACAATAACTGAAAATATCTCAACTGTAACGAGCCAAGGCATGGGAACAGTGGAGGATGATTATAGAATATGCCAAATGTATATAGCCTCATTGAGCAGTTTTAATCCGACAGCTATTGAACAATGTGAACATTTGCGAATGTTGGACTGCGCCAACCTGAACGTCGTATAAAAGCCAAACGGCTGCAATACAACGGAATTCATCCGTCCTCTTCTCGTGAGATCGACATATGAATCTCTTCTTTACGCACTTTCATACAAAATGAAAGTCCCCCCAACAATTCTATCTCAGGAGATTAATCGGAACCAATTTTATCTTCGTATCTAAAACATTAAGGCGTTGCATCTGGGCCATATGACAAAATTATCTGAGTCCTGGATACAGGTTTTCGATATAGGATGTGAATATTCCGGCGATTTTCGAATCAATAACAATTTTGATGAGTGTGAATAGGTGACATAAGTGAATGTGCCATGAAGAGGAAGTGAGTTTCTGGGAGTCTTCAAATAGACTCAGCCTATATTTCGTCTGAGGAGGAGAAGATTCGTCTTGGAATTGTGAATATGGATTTGCTCAAAGAAGCCCTCAACAGCCCCATCTTGCAAACATGATGAATCCGTGTTGAGCTTATGTCTGTTAAATAGCAGACATCGTCAGAGCAAGAAACCATCATTATTACCAAATAAAGGCCTACTTACCTCTTATACTCAAATTAGCGATTTTACTGAGGCATCCCATGAGTTGTTCGGCTACTTTAGACTTCAGTGGTTTAGTGTTTTTGGCCAATTTTTCGCAGATGATGGCTTCCGACTCTACCCACGTCTATCCCATGACAGAAGCAAACTAAGCGCTGATTCAACAGAGTCATAGGACGATGAGTCGAGATCCCTTTCGGAAAATCCAACAATCACAATAAAAAGGCAATCTCCTTTGGTGCCCGGTGGGCAAAGTTACGGACCAATTTCACCCGCATTTTCGAATGAAATAAAAGGTACCCCATCATCAATCCAATGGGGGATTCTTCAAAAACCAGCTTCTCTGCACATAATTGCAGACATACAACCGAATTAAACTAACCACGCCAGTTGCTTGACCAGCATACGAGCCAGCCTGGTCGGTGCCCAGTCGGCTCTGCCTATTGGACGCCTGCTTAGTAGCGGGAGAAGTGTTGGGATGACGTCGTGGGGGCGCCAACGGTGGTAGACTACTTATGGCAGCAAAGGAGTCGGGGTTGGAGTCGGCTGGGAGCCCGACGACTGGTGGCACCTGCGGAGCCGGACGCCGAATAATAATAGGAGCTTTATTGACGGAAGTATGCGGACTCCTTTCTGCACCTCGACGCTGCAGCTGATGACCGCGTCGTGACTCAGAAGGACCCAAACACTGTCCAGCCTCCAATACTCCTATTTCATGATGACCATCGGTTGTGGCTGTGGGAACATGCTTTGAGGAGCCTGGAGGATGTATCCTGGGGCGAGCTTCATTTGCGGACCTATTGGTCCGGTGACCATGTTGATTGCAGTGACGACGCCTATGCCGATGATGATTGCCGTGTCTATGGTGTCGTTGGCGACGTCGGCGAAAACCGCTCAAATCTAGGCCTAGGTTGGAGCCGAGATCTGAGCTTGAAACCCATATTCGAATGGCTGTGTCGCTGGGATCTGTTTGGTAAAAACAAATGCTGGCTCGATTGAATTTAGGGTTTCCTGCACTGATGCCAATACGATACGAGGCATCACTGGATTGTACACTTTATATAAAGTAGCCAATAAAACAATATAAGAGGAGCGCCTCTTAGTTTGGTATAAAAGGAGCGTGTGAACAGAAAAGATTCACGTCAATAGACAATTCATTTTGAGCGAAAAGTTTGCATAAAGAGATCTGTTAATTGGCTCCACCGCAAGCAGGAGGATTGCCTTAGAGATGTGACTATTGATCTGTGCGAAGCATTCATCACCATACCGTCAGTCGTGAGCATTCGTCTTCCCTACTATAAAAACACGTCGTCAGAATCAGAGATCACCACTTAAGTAAGCGCATCAAACACTGAGCCAGGAATTGAGGCAAGATACAATCCTGACAACTTCATATAACTATATTTTGCAATATCAATGAGGCATCCGGTGATTCGGCTGGCTACTTAATATTTTCTCCTACATCAGATGTGACTGCAACATGTTTCCCTGCACAAATGACCTGTAGTGTGATCTTGTAGTTTTGGAGTGCGTCCGGACGTAAAGTTGTCCATGAGTCAATTTGGATATGAAAATCCTAACCAGACTCAGACTAATCAGACCTTATACGCTTGTTCGTCCTGCTTCTTCTCTCGCTCACTTTTACCAAACCTATCCAGCCCAATTTCTTACATACAGGAGGCGTATTTGGCCTTTAAATATATAACTCCGTTATTTGATGTGAGTATGCTCGGAGACTCAGTAATTCTTGAACAAGAACTTATTTTCAAGACACACTAATCTCAAAAGTAAGTAATGACGTCGAATGCAATGGCAAATCCATACTTACTTCAACGACAATCACACCACCAATTGTGATTTGAGAGAGGATTAGCCTATTTTGTGATGAATATGTCACAGTGGCTGTTTAGCGGAGCATAACTTAGGCATAGAGTCTAGAAACTAAAATACTGGAGGAATCAGCCAAGAAGAGGAAGTTTAATCGCTATATCAATTATTTTATTATTTCTTTATACGAGGCTTACTGACGCCGACCGATATTAAGGAAGGATGCACACGAGAATTAGCTGTTAAACGAGAACCATTCGCAAATTATGGCGAACTTGAGCAACACCTGTGAAATTTCCCTATGACCATGTTCCATCACTAAATTTAGTCTTTTTTTCAGGACCCATCATTACAAGGCAATAACCGAACTCAATAGCAAAATGTGGAAAGCCAATGGTCGAGTATGGTTGCCTAAACGGAAGCATCTCCCACGTCAGGCTTGACGCACAAGTCAATCTAGCAAGGAATAATTGTTTATCAAATAAGAACACAAATAATGTCGGAGGCCTGCTAAAATGAGCCTTATATTGTACCACTGATCCAATAGTCTAATTCTAGCTTATCCCATATTTCAAACCGCCGAGATTTAATGAATGCGTGTAATTTCACATCGTGATAACAAATCCATTACTTCAGCATTATCCTCCTTCATCTGCTGCCTAGTCCACGCACTCACCTAGACTACGACAGACCTTATGACATTTTCATATATACGAGATGCATTTGTCATATTTAGTTTAAGGTGATACGGGGAGTGGTAATTAAATTTTCACATAATGACATGAGTAGATCTTAAGTTCCCATAACATTGCTTTCCCAAAGGGTATTCTCATCCATGCTTAAGTGGACTGTCGTTTCGACCTTGCCTAGGTCTCATCAGTATCTTCAGCGGGACTCGAACCATGACAATACAGCATATAATCAATACGCCACATTACTAAGAATACCCAAGGATCACAGGCCAAATATGGATTTCAAGGAAGGCCAGGCATTTTCCCACATCGCATTATGTAGTGGGATTGCATATGAAGAAAATCGCCATTTCTATACTAATAGACTTATCAACACATCACTTTAATGGAAATAGGGTAAATAAATCTCATATATATGATCCACTGGTAGTCTACGAAAAATAAGTAACGTAATCGATTGCTATTGCAAATACAACTTTGCTATATAAATATA